CAGGTTTCATTGCATTTTTTTTTTTTTTTTTTTTGTCCTTCCTCGCTCTGTGTCGGCGCACTACAGCCGAGTGAGAAATGTCAGGTCATATCCCCAGGGTGCGTAGCGCTGGGTGTGTGTTTGTGACTAAGTGCCTTTGCGTGCATGCACATATTGTTTTATCAGTCAACCCTGTCTTTGCCTCCATCTCCCGTGGGTAGACTTAAGAGTGTCAAATCCCCATCTCGCATTTATTGAAGAGAAAACCACTGTGAAAAGTTTGTTTTGGGCTCCTTGTGCTGCTGGAGAAAACATTGTCATTGTGTTATCATGGCTCTTTTTCCTGATGCATTATAATGTGGCAAGTACAAAATCTTGGCTAGAAATGTATAATCTATTTAATATAGAGTGATACAGGGTAAAGCCAGGCTAGGATTTAAAGCAGGGGCGGATCCAGGGGTCGAGCCAATGAGCCACTGGCCCCACCTTGAGGTACATCTGTGATGTTGTTAGTCTTTTTTTTCTAAATAAAGTAGTCATCTACTAACAACATGAACATTTCACATGACAAGCATAATGTGCTTGAACAAGGAACAATTTTCAAATGAATTCAACCTTACTGAATCAGGAATTGCGTATAATTGCACCCCCTGCAAATTGTGGCCCCTTCATGGCCCCTGATTTAGAAAAATCCTAGATCCGTCTCTGAGTTAAAGTCCTTTCAAGAAATACATAGATGGGCAATATTGTTTGAGCATGAATTCAAATTGTCATGGATAGGTGATAGCGAGTAATATTGAAAGTAGTAGCTTGACAATCTTTTCCAGAGTAGGACGAGAAGATTGATTCCATATATACAGTAAATCTGCTTAATATGGCATTGGCTAGTTAGCTTAGCTTAGCACAAAGTCTGGAAACAGGGTAAAACAACCAGCTGGCTCTGTCTGAAATGTAAAATGTATGGGGATTATTTTTCTGGGCACCATACAATAAATTCACTACTGGTTGACTGGCAACTTTAGGAGTAACAACAACTACTCCAAGAAGTCACATTTCCCGGCCCCAAAATAGTCCTACACACATTGCAAAATCACAAAGCTTAAGATTTTTGTGTTTTTATCAGACTTTTATTCAGGCTCAGAAATGTTCTACTTTTTCTTGCCTTTAAGTCACTTGTAAGTTGAGGGTTGTCTTGCAATGGCAGTTCTAGAACTTACTTGGCTCCAGGGCCAGAGATTATGATAGGACTTTTTGCATATAGCTAAAATGAAGGTTTATTAGTCCATAGACTGCTACTGCACACACACGTACACACACACACACACACACACACACACACACACACACACAAATAAACACATACACACACACACAGACACACAAACACATGCACAAACACACAAACACGTGCACACACACATTTTCCATCGAACATAATCTCATTCTCTCATGAAGCATTACTCGGAGGCCATCACAATCCCATTACCTACACTGAATCGTGAGTAAGGGAGAGGGAGAGGGAGAGTGATGATCAGGTGGAGCTTTATCAAGTAAGTGAATCAAATGATCTATTCCCCTCTCTCCACACACACACACACACACACACACATACACACATTTTAGCAGCCATCCCACAGGTGTAGAGACATACAGATGCGAAGATCTGTGAAAATTGACTTGAGGTATTAAATTGATTCTTGAACAATCAATACTTACAATATGCTACCATGTGCTTATTCAATTGAGTGAGGCTCATTGGTCAATCAACCATATGAGAGTGTGTTGTGTGTGTCGGTGTTTGAATGTGCTCATCTGTGTATTAGTGAAATCAAGAATCACCGTCCCATCATCTCTCCCCTCTTCCCCCCCTCTCCTCCTATCCCCTCCTCGCAGACGGCTGTCCCAACTTGTGTAACGGGAACGGCCAGTGCACCATGGGACAGCAGAGTTGGCACTGTGAATGCCAGACAGGCTGGAGGGGCCCCGGCTGCAGTGTCGCCATGGAGACTTCCTGTGCAGACAACAAGGACAATGAAGGAGGTGAGTTGAGGGGAGCGGGAAGAAGGTTGGTGTAAAGCAGCCCCTTGCTCAGGAAAACCACCTGCAAAAGTGTTAGCGTCTGAATGGAATGAAGAGAGATAGAGGAAAAATAATGAATTAAAACAAGAAATAGAATTAACATAAAGGTCTCATGAGAGACCCCTCACTGCGGACGGCAAAATTAAACTTCTCTTTGTGAAAGAAGCACAGATTACATCCAGAGTGGAAGAAGCAGGGAGGGATTTTGCTCTCCTCGTTGTTCCTGTACCCCCACCTCATAATTGCACTCTCCCTTCTCTATCAGACGGACTCACAGACTGCATGGACCCAGACTGTTGCATCCAGAGTCCCTGTCAGAACAGCCCACTGTGCCGTGGCTCCCGGGACCCACTGCAAGTCATCCAGCAGAGTCCCGTGTCCCAGCCCCACGTCCGCTCATTCTATGACCGAGTCAAAATGCTCGTTGGGCGGGACAGCACCCACACCATCCCGGGGGAAAACCCGTTCAACTCCAGGTACAGAAACACACTTGACCAGACGAATGTAATTACACGATATTAATATCCATGCCACCACTTGTATCCAAGACAACCAGAGTCAGAAGCTTTATTAAACTATAACCTGATGGAGTCTGACAGCAGCAGGGTGACAGCTTTTCAAAATGAAAGTGTCACATTTTCAACTTCTGATGCATGTAGTGCACTGATACTTAAACAGAGAACAAGAAAGGAAATAATCATCTAGGCTTAAGCCACACATGATTAGTTTAACCAACTCATCATGAAAGTCACACTGTTTGACCCATTGTCTCTTTCCATTTCCAAGAGTATAAATTAAATACATGTATGCATATATCAGTGAGTGCAGGGTGAATCATAAAAAAGATTATATTATTTCACAGGAAAAGAAAAGAAAGGGGTTTTCATACAAGAATACACTCAGACATGCTCTGTGTAATGTATCCAACATATACCCAACAAAGTAATAATAAATACGGTAACACAGGATAAAAACTTTTTTTAGAAAGTTTTTAGCGTTCACTTTTTTATGTATTTGTCGGAAACATTAAAATACATCACACTGGCCTGTGAGATGCTACAGATTAACACATTGATGTTCTCAGACGGTTTGACATTTATGTGAATAAACGCACGCCATGAAAAATAGCCCCAACATTACAGATTCAACATCGCAAATATCAAACAGACTTCAGATTGGTTCACTGAAGGAAGCCAAGACCTTAACAAATCCCAGAGCCAAAGGCAGACCAAGCCAAGATTCCCCAATAGACCCAGAGGAGCTGTGAAGCACTGCCCATGGTGCTGATTCTTGTCTGCATACACTTACACAAGCAGCCATCAGATGTTTCAAAGGAAATAACTCATCAAAGTCATGATGAAGAAGCTCTGAAACATTTACTTGTTATTCTATGTGCACCAGTTTGCTAGGGTGCGCACACACACACGTGTCCATCTATATTGTCATGCTTTGTTTACATGATTGACGTGAGCTAATCTGGATGGTGTGGGCTGCTGATTGTTTCTAATTAATGAGTGGTAGAAGACCAGAGCAATAGATGAATGGGGGGAATTGGATGATTGAAAGACGGCGAGATTAATCAAACCAGATGATTGATGGTTAGGAAGATAGGGCTGATGGATTGACGATCACTCCTTCACTCTTGTCTCCTCTGTCCTCTTCCAGCTTGGCGTCTCTAATCCGGGGTCAGGTGTTGACGACAGATGGAACCCCTCTGGTGGGGGTGAACGTGTCTTTTGTCAACAAACCTCAATACGGATACACGCTGACACGGCAGGACGGAATGTATGTACATCAGCTACTCAGCACGCCTTGCTGAGACTACCTCAACATACAGACTGTATGATTAGATTAGATTAGATTAGATTAGATCAGATCAGATTAGATTAGATTAGATTAGATTAGGGAATTTTAATGTTCAATGATCCCATGAGAAAACTAAGCTGTTGTTGCAGCAGCAAACAAAGGGGATTTAAAATAAAAGCAAAGTATAAGTGAGAGTAAAAACTCTACAATTTGAAAATAAATGTACATGACAATAAAAACTCAGTAAAACATATATACCTCCGCCAAGGCTCAACAGTCCCCTTATGAAACCACATTTAGATCGGCTCTATCCAGGTTTTTATTTTGATCTGCTCCAAATCCAACACAATCATCAATATCAATCATCTCGATAATCTGGATACATCACATAATCATTAATTATTCAGTAGGAAATTTGTATTTATCATTTTTTTTGTGCGGCTCATTATTGGTCCAAGAATAAACCAACAAACAGATAGGGGTGAAAACATATTCCTTGGTGAAGGTATATTTGAGAGTATTAAATCTGTTAATCTTTTCTTTCATTAATATAATATAAAATATAATTATTGTTTTATTATTTTTGTATTATTATTGGTCATAATCAAATAATAACCATTAAATAAACATTCCATACAAAAATAATAATCCTTTTCTTTCACAACCATTTTGAATACGTTTGGTTTAACCCTGGTGACATGTTTTCCTGTTTCTCCTCCTGTTTCTTGGCTGCTTTAATTTGACTTTTTTTGTCCAATTCTCCTCCCTATACTAGGTAAATTGAATTTAGGTCTGGCTGACTCCCAGAACATGTTATTCCCAAAAACTTGATTCATTGGTTCCTCAGACTGACCTCTGCTCATTAAATGTGCACTTTCTGTGTTTCCTGTCTCAGGTTTTTAAGCACCCCTACACTCTTCATCCTTTTCACCAGTGCTTTCTTTTTGCAGGTAGTTTTTCTTCCAGTTAGGTTGAGCTGATGCTGAACCATCTGAACTTCCAGTAACATTTAATAGGCTTTATATTTCAGGGGGCAGATACTCACTAGTTTCTCAGACTTGTGAGCATGTTCTGATGTCCTTGCCTGACCTTCTTCTTTAGTCTTTTTCTGCTTTCAGTTGTTACAGGCTCTAGGCCAACAGCATGTACAAAGCTCTGGCCATTTCTCCTAAGAAATGTGAACGTGTGTATTATATATACTCATCATTAACCCACAGTTTTAACTGCACAAGAGTAAAGGAGACAGGGACTAAAGGAAAACATCTGCTGTAATGAGATCCTATTCCTATCTATGTTCTGACATTGTTGTGTTCATGTTTCAGGCCTTTAACTATTGTCTATACATGTGTTGTAAAAGTTTGTTGTACCATAATGTTGAAATATTAATTCCAGGAGTTTTTGTGGTTGAATTATTTCTAAACCAGTGGAGTAAACACGAGTTAGAGGAAGAGAAACACTGACAGAGTATGAAACCAAAATAACAACCCTTCCACCAACACTACACTCCCCACCCACCTGTACCTCATTCCCATCCTCTTCTTGCAAATCCCCTCCAGGTTTGACCTGATAGCAAATGGCGGTGCATCACTGACTCTGCGGTTCGAGCGCGCCCCCTTCCTGAGCCAGGAGCGCACCGTGTGGCTGCCCTGGAGCCAGTTTTATGCTATGGACACTCTGGTGCTTAAGACAGAAGAGAACACGATCCCGGGCTGTGACCTGAGCGGCTTCGTCAGACCTGACCCTCTTGTGATTGCATCCCCTCTCTCCTCCTTCTTCAGCTCCAAACCAGGGGAGAAACCCATCATACCGGAGACACAGGTGCAGTACCACTGACCTCTGGCAGCCGGTTAATCTTCCCTGTGGTTCCCTCTCTCTGTTCCCACTCTTCTGTATGCCTGTCTCCTGTGGCTCTCTTTCTCTTCTTTTTTCCCTTAGCTTTTCCCCCCATTTTCTCTTTCTCTCATTCTTTATTGCTTCTATTGTTTTTTTCCCCTTTTTTTGTCCTTCAGCCGTCAGTGGAAGCGTGACCCCCATTACTCCCTCACTCTCTAATCCCCCCTAATCCTTCTCTCCTGTCATCTCTGTCCCTTTGTCTTCCAGGTGCTGCATGAGCAGATCGAGGTCCCTGGCACAAGCCTAAAGCTGTGCTACCTAAGCTCCAGGACGCAGGGTTACCGCTCCCTGCTCAAGGTGACCATGACTCCAGCCGTGGTGTCTATGGGGCTGCTGAAGGTTCACCTGATGGTCGCAGTGGAGGGTCACCTCTTCCAGAAGTGGTTCCACGCCTCACCGAACCTGGCCTACACCTACATCTGGGATAAGACCGATGCATATGGGCAGAGGGTCTACGGGCTTTCTGAAGCTGTTGGTGAGTAGAAGGGATGGACAGTGGAGAGGTGTTTTTTAGGGAGGGATGCTGTGATTCTGTTTCCCTGCACTCACTGAATAGATTAGAAACTTTACCAGTAAGTGAGGCAGCACTGGCTCTGTCAGAGGGAGGGAGCGCTAATTAGGAAGCTTGAGGGAGATAATACACGAGGAACCCGGCCTCCATCCACTACGCAGTGTAGCCACAGTTAAGTGCTTCTTTTCCAGACGTCTACTTTTCATCGAGGCTGCGCGTGGCTCAGTCAGCCAGCCGTAACTGTGGTGAAGGGTTATTAGCCATCAGGGTGAGTTAGCAGTTAGCTACTGGAGCAGCAAGCAGGAGTCCAGGGGAGCCACAGCGCTATTACACTCTGCCGTCACAGTCGCTCACAGATGCTGTCAGCCAAACGCTGCTGTCAGGCCGCAGATGCAGTGGATGTCTGGGGCTTCAGGACTGCAATCACGAAGGGCGTACAGGTTGGAAAATTACTTTCACTCAAAGATCCTGTGGTACCCTGGAGTGACTGTAATTTTACATTCCTCAAAGAAAATAAAGCATATACGTGGTTTACAATTAGGTTATATACTGCTCACCGAGGATACGAATGCAGGTGAACTGCATTATAGAAGCTGAAAAGGTGCAGGCGACAACACTCTCGCTGTGACTCAAGTAGGAGTTGATGTGTTGACACACCTCTCCTCATGACACGCAGGAACACAACCGCACACACATGCACTAACATACAGTATAGAAATACACATGCATGTAAACATGCTCAGAAATAGTCAGGACACAGTCTCCTCCTCTTCTTCCCTTCTTGTACATTGTAAACAAATCTAATGAGACTCGACTCTACTGTCAGCACACGGGCAGATTGGGACATTATGTTTCCCCACCAGCAGTTTTCACCGTGGCAACCAGTGAGGTTTGTAGATTTAAAGGCCCATCAGGCAATCCGTCCAATTATCAAGGTTTTTAATTGATTTAGCAGCATGTGAAAGTGTTAGTTAGGTGCGAGTGCAGACTTTAGTACAGGTGCTAACTAGCTTCTCTGTGTATCACACAATTTAAATGAACTCAAAAGGTTGTGCTCTGAAGTTCTCTTCTTGTATTGTTTCGGGGTTTTTTGTATATCACCACTTTATGCTGTGTCCCATCTCTTTTTCTCTATCTGTGTTTTCTCTCTTATGTATATAGTGTCAGTGGGCTACGAGTATGAGTCCTGTGCCAGCCTAATCCTTTGGGAGAAGAGGACAGCCATTCTGCAAGGCTATGAACTGGATCCTACCAATCTTGGCGGCTGGTCACTCAACAGGCACCATATTCTCAACACGCGCAGCAGTGCGTATACTCTCTGATATGAAACAAAAAATAAGCTCAGACTTTTCCAGCTTTTCTTTATTTTTCCCTACAGTTTATATTTAGCCTCTTGTAGCAGGTTTACAGTATATCTCACCAAACTCGCTATTGCTTTTTGGAGGGTGTAAACTTCCTCTGGTTCACACTGAGATGCCAGGCACCTCTTTTTTACCCGTCAGGGGGTAGAGCTTGTGTTCTCTCCCAGTCTGACTCCCACATCCACTCACACCATCCCCACTGAGGGAACACGTACGCCAGCCACTCAGCAGAGGCTAAGAGAACAGAGCAGGGGGTCGGGGATGTGCAGGCAAAAAACTGATTCACAATCTCTATGGCGGTGGACAACTGGGAGTTATTCTTGTTGCATCATTTGCTATGCCATTATCCACATTCTGTGCAGTAACGTTAAAAAGCATGGGGAAATAAATTGGCTGATGCACTCATTTACCTGCCATAAGAATCAAACATGCTAATGGGACAGGCAGAGCTTAAGGACCAGTGGTATATGGAGGTATTTTTAGAAGTGGGGTAAAGCTGTAACCGTTGTCCCCTGACATTAGCCTGATGTACAATACGGTGATGGTTTTCTAGCCTGGCATCAACCAGACCAACTCACATTCTTCCTTTCGATGAAATTTACACCTCAGATACTGTCTTGATCTGATTTCACTACATTAGTGACAGACATCTTGATTATTCTTGAAAATGCTTCAGTGGTGCTCCTCTGCCACTCATCATATCAAACCCGCCTCAATAACAAAATTCTAACATGCTCATACTGATAACGGTCGTTATATAGTTTAGAAAGTAAGCATGCTAGCATTTTTCCAACCATAGACTGTAAAGATTAATAATTTGACAAACATGAAGCCAAAGCGTCTTGATCACCACCTGGTGGCTGGCTACAGTATAGGTCATAAATCCCGCCTCCTCATAATTTGTGTGATGTTTGTTCAATGGTAGGTTTAGTTTTGATACATTTATTTGATGCTATAATGATAACATGATAACATTTATTTGATGCCACCGCATATTCATCCCCTGATCGCCGGGTTAGTGCTCAGACGCCAGCTTCTAATGTGCACATATCCATGATGTCTTCGCTTTAGCATAGTCCATCATTATATACACTCTATGTTTACAACTCATGAAGTGCAGAGGATCATGGGAAGTTGTTTGTCTAGTATTGAACATAACAATTTCTGATGGTTGTGTTATGAGCATTAAGGAATCACCAAAGTTATTAGAATTCATCCCTTTGGAACCATATATCTATATTAATGGTTATCCATCCAATATTTGATGGAATGTTTCTATAAATATTGGACAGCGCTAATAGTCAACAGTAAAAATACAAGCTCTGACTGAAATAACGATCCCTAATCTCTGTTTCTCTCCTATCTCCTGTCCAGGCATACTTCACAAGGGCAGCGGTGAAAACATTTTTGTGACAGAGCAGCCTCCTGTTATCACCAGCATCATGGGAAATGGCCGGAGGCGCAGTATCTCCTGCCCCAGCTGTAACGGCCTTGCAGATGGCAACAAACTGCTGGCGCCGGTTGCCCTGGCGATGGGCATCGATGGCAGCCTCTACGTTGGAGACCTCAACTTTGTACGCAGGGTGTATCCATCTATGAACACAACCGGCATCCTGGAATTAAGGTAAAAAAAAAGAAAGAGAAATAGATGTTAGAGATAAGATTGGCTGGTCAGATCACAGTGAGATAACAGGAGAAGAAGAAGTAGAGAAGCAAAATATGTAGGATTGTAAACTCCCTTGTCACAGAAGGAATGTGGTGTGACACAGGGGATGCTGAGACAGAAGCCGACACTGTACTTGATACCATTTCTCCAGGGTGTGTTTACCCATGTTTAAATTCTGCTGTTTGCACCACTGCCAGATATGTGTTGCTCTCTGTAGGTGGCTCTCAGCAGAATGTGCGAATTAACATTTGTTTTCTTGTGCTTTTATGTTTCTTCTTTAAAGGAACAAAGATTTCAGACACAGGTAAGATCCTTATGATAATAAATTAAAAGCTTATAGTTCACATTCCAGCATCTATAACAAAAAAAAAAAAGTGAAATCAAGCTATTCACCCGAATAATATGCATTGTTTTGTCACCATAGTAATAACCCAACCCATAAGTACTTCCTGGCTGTGGATCCAGTATCTGGGGCCGTGTTCATCTCAGACACCAACTCCAGGCGAATCTATCGTGTTCGGTCGTTAACGGGAGGCCGGCTGCTGTCGGACAACGCAGAGGTGGTGGCTGGGACGGGGGAGCAGTGCCTGCCCTTCGATGAACGCTGCGGCGACGGCGGCAAAGCAACTGAAGCTACGCTTATGAGCCCCAAAGGTTAGCATCTTAAAAACAAAGTCTATGTTTCAATAACCACATTTTTTGACATTAAAACAATTAAAACCATGGATTAATTTGGTTTTGTACTGGTGTTTTCGACAAAACAAATATTGCCTTGGACTGTAACAAATTGTAAGAATGCATTATTATTATATATCATTATAGTTTTGAAAGCTTTTTTCTCAGGTGGAGCCACATAGATGAAGATCTATAGTTCAGCACCCGAGATATCAGAATATCAGAATATCATTTCCCTTCACATTGTGCCAGCTCTTATTACTTAACTAAAGCAGGACGGAGACAAAAGGAGGTTATAAACCAGGTTAATGTTGAACTTGTTAATGGATTTATTTTTGTGGATCATCGGATGTTAGAACATTGTGACACCAAACTGTCAAGGATGTCACACTGTCACATTTCCTATTGGTGTGTGTGCGTGCACTTGGGGCTGCAGATGTTAGTGTATGTGCAGTGTGTGTGTGTGCGTGGTTGTTGTGCGAAGGTGGCAGAGATAGGTGAAGACAATGAGCTACTGATTCCTTCTTACCTGTCACAGGCTAAGTCAGTCAGTGCAAATCAGCTTGCCACCCTAACACCTTCACCCCATCCCACCCAACCCCCTTTTCTCCCCTGTCTCATTTGCTCCGCGCCCTCTGCTGCATCCTCCATCTATTGTTGTGTATCCTCACTTCATCTAGAAGTTATTTTTGGGGCACAGTTGCCTCAAACAAACACACCTGTCTGAATGCCGGCTGCCTGTTAGACCAACACGGCTGACAAGCCTGCATCACTGGTAAAGGTAGAAAAGTGAGGGATGACAAAAAAAGTATAGGAGCAAGCTGAAATAAAGGAAGGAAGTAGAGCGCAGCAGATCACTTGTCTTCTTAAAGAATCTGCTTGCAATCTGCAATCGCCCTCTGGGAGGAGCATGAGCTCAGCTCGGCATCTCGATGACTCATCCGGAGGAGAACACTCTCCGAACACTTCAGTGCTCGTTCCATCACTTTGTTCCCCCTCATTCGATGAAGCATTGAGCAGTTCAGCTGTCAGGGCCGCTATCTGTTACCAGACGGTGGAAAGAGTGAAGTTTAATTGACTTGGAATGTTCTACTGGTTGCCGGCAGTGTTTGAGTTATAAGTCGTCACTCATTGGGGTTCATCTCTGCTTTGACAGGCATTGCTGTGGATAAAAACGGCCTGATGTACTTCGTGGATGCCACCATGATCCGTAAGGTGGACCAGAACGGCATCATCTCCACTCTGCTCGGGGCCAACGATCTCACCGCCATACGACCACTGAGCTGTGACACAAGCATGGACGTCAGCCAGGTACGATGGTTATAGGAGGGAGTGCGGGAGAGACGAGAGGTGATGGCACAATAGATGATGATCTAACAGCTGAGTAAGTGCTGAGCTATGATGATTATGTGGAAACGCGCCAGCCGGGAGGTCAGGGAGAGACTGATTTAGGGAGTCCATTGGTAAATGGATGAATCAAAAGAAAATGAAGATGGCAGTCACTTAAAACAATGAAGAAGAGCCTTGTCTGAGCCTTGGCGTCCGTTCAAAATGCTCCCCCTCGGTTGAGATAGTGCCTGATGTACAACTTCTTTTTCTGCCCTACCAGGTGCGTCTCGAGTGGCCAACGGACTTAGCAGTGAACCCCATGGACAATTCCCTCTATGTCCTGGAAAACAATGTCATCCTTCGCATCACTGAGAACCACCAGGTCTGTACCACAGGGGCCGAATCACCTTTGCAATCCCCTTTGGGTGGACCCTCGCGAAAGGGCTTTGACAGGATTAAGTCTCAATTAGGTTTTCTCCAGCAAATTAGTAGTAAAAGTTCAAATCCGAACAAAGTTTTGCTGCTGTGGTAACATTAGTCTGAACTTTACTGAGATGTTCTACCTTATGAAATCTCACTTCATTATGGAAAGTTTCATAGAGTTTCAGTTGTTTGATCACAGACATTTTCTGTCATCGCCCGCAGGTGAGCATCATAGCCGGTCGGCCCATGCATTGTCAAGTGCCAGGCATTGATTACAGCCTCAGCAAGCTGGCCATCCACGCTGCCTTGGAGAGCGCCACTGCCATCGCCCTGTCTCACACTGGCATCCTCTACATCGCTGAGACAGACGAGAAAAAGATCAACCGCATCAGACAGGTAAAGACGCTGATGTAGAGAACACAGTTCATTGTCTGTCAGGTTGTTTTTGAATGAATTAGACAAATTTTGTTTTCTTGGCAACCAAAAGAGACTGAACAACTGGTCGGTGTGTGTGGGTGTTTTCTTTGAATATTCTGAGAGACTCTACACTTAGTTCAGACACTATTATGTTTTTTTCCGTCATTCTCTCTTTTGATAACTCAAAATGAAATTTGTCTTTGTTAATACACTTCCTTTCATTGAGGACTGACTTATTTTACAATAACCTTCTTCCCTTCATCTGTCTGTGTGGTTTTTTTTTCAGGTAAGCACTAATGGAGAAATCTCTCTCCTGGCTGGTGCTGCCTCCGACTGCGACTGCAAGAACGACGTCAACTGCAACTGCTTCTACGGCGATGATGGCTACGCCCCCGACGCCGGCTTGAACTCCCCCACCTCTTTGGCCGTGTCCCCTGATGGGAGCCTCTTCATCGCAGACCTCAACAACATTCGAATCAGAGCCGTGCGAGCCAATCGGCCCGGCCCTGCAGTGTCGAGCGTGGGCTACGGAGGATCCGCGCAGTACGAGGTTGCCTCGCCGAGAGAGCAGGAGCTGTATGTCTTCAACGGAGAGGGGCTTCACATCCAGACTATTAGCCTCGTAACCGGGGAGCCACTTTACAATTTCACCTACGGCCCTGATGGAGAACTAGCCATGCTGGTGGACAACTGCAACAACACGGTTAAAGTACGGAGGGACGGTTTGGGTCAGGGAGGAGGAGCCGGCCTGCTCAGACTGGTGCTGCTGCCAGAGAATCAGGTAGTGACGCTGGGACTGGACCCCACAGGGGGGCTGCGTAGTGTGTCTGCCCTGGGCCAGGAGGTGGCTCTGATGGGCTACAGTGGCAACACAGGCCTCCTGGCCACCAAAGCTGATGAGACTGGATGGACCACGTTTTACCAGTAAGTGTGTGACAGAGGGCAAAATGTGTGAATATTTTTCTCATCTATCTCAAATACAAAATGAAGTTTCGCAGGCTTCATGTTTATCATGCTCTGTTGAATTCCTAATTACTGGTGCTCCTAACACAGTGCTCTCCTGCCCCCCAGTGTTTGCTTTTATAACTACAGCCAATTCCTCTGTTAGATGAGCTCTCTCTGTCAGTGTCTGTGTGATCGTCTGACTGCGTTATATGTGTTTCCACATATATTTGGTAGAAGTATTTACACGTCCTCCTCTTGCCAACCGCCCTCACTGCAATCTCCTATCCCTCAGGTACGACAGCGAGGGTCGCCTGACCAATGTGACATACCCCACGGGCATGGTGACGAGTCTCCACCGCGAGATTGAGCGCTCCATCAACATTGACATCGAGAGCTCCAGCAGGGACGACGATGTCACTGTCATCACCAACCTGTCGTCCGTGGAGGCGTCATACACCGTGGTGCAAGGTAGACACTCATGCTGCTTTCACACATTCTCCTGAGGGGCTGTATGTCTGAGTCACTTGCTCCTGATATTGTCCGGACCTTTTCCTAAAATGTCCAGAAATTGTCAGAGCGTGCCCATGTGAGGATGTTGGTGGCGTTTATAACACGTGTCGGACACAAAACTATGAAATACAAATACCTCAGGATGAAAAAGCGAAGCAATACATGTAGAGGATGATAATACAATAAAGTATGATAAGGGCCGATGCTGGTGTTGATGGGCTGTAAAGAAAAACACTTGATTTCCAAAGCATGAATTTATACATCCTGTCCTGCCTCCGACACCCCCCCTCTCCTGAATGTTCCAGACATTTTGCTATTGTTGTGAACACGTTTGACTCAGATAATCTCCTGCTGCATTCTTCAGATGCTAAAGGAAACATCTGGATAATTAAATAAATTGTCTGTGTGAAATAATATACTGTATATCTATCTATGATAATTGTCTGGACATTTTCCAGCAAAAAAAACATGCGATAAACACTAAGCTTAAATCCTTAACATTAATCAGTAGGAATTCTGATTAATTATAAATAATGTTGATTAAGTCTTTTGTGAGTAGATAAATCCTAAAAAGAAAAATTTCAAATGGGTCTTTTTTTGTGGCAACCGAGCCTGATGAGATATACAACTTTATCTTAGTATTCAAAAGCACAGCCGCCCTCTGTGATGGTGAATGTGCACTTGCCTGCCGCCCTTAATTGAAAGTCTTGTTATTTTCACTCAGTTATGTGTCTGCTCCAGGAGATTATTTTCCATCCTTACCCACAACCGGCTCTCTCGTTCCCTCTCATGGAGAAAAAAAATTACCGTTATATGGTTGTTAATCCCAGCTGGGATCCTCCTGCTTTTGAATATCATCACGGCAAAAATTCATTAACTCATGTAGAGTGAATCCTGCTCATCCCTCAAGCTTTCTCCTCACATGCACGCACCAACATACAAATGCAGCTCTCGACCAGTTCCCATGATCCCTCAGCTTATTTGGTCTGTTTAGAGAGGAAGGAGAAGGATGAGGCAGAATAATTGTCTCCTTTCTCCTGACCGGAGCAAGCGGTGTGACAGAAGTATGAATGCAGACTGTGGGCAGGGCCTCGGAGGAGAATCAGTTGTGTATGTATTCAGTGATCCACCTGGGTTGCGATAGGAGAGTTGTTCACAGAGCCGTAAGTCATTTAAGGTTTCCGGTGCACTATGTGGGGTTCAGCACAGCTCTCTGCTGACATACTCACTTAACCGTCTCCCTCTCTTTCCGCTCTCTCTCTCACTCTCTTCATTAACTTCTGCACAGTGAATTCTCCTTGGCCCTCGAGCTCTCATTTCTCTCTCTCTCTCGCTCCCTCGCCTCTGTTTTATTACAAGGTTGTTCAGACAGAGGGAGCAGAGAAGATTTATCTAAAGGCTGTTGCTGCCAAGTCAATGGAAAAAGCTTCACTTGTCTGTTTGAGGCATTGTTAAAATGTGCCTGGAGCTTTATTACAAATTGGCCTTATGGATTACTGTCATTTATGGTGGGGCTTCAAAGGGAGACACCATCTGATCTTCTCACCTTTTTGAAAATGAAATGAAATAAAATTTAAAAAACAACTCCCACCACCCCATCAACTCTGAATCTGCCGGAGCGGAAAACAACTTTATCTCACTTTCGATCACTTCTGTGTGATCAAGACGCCTGTTTTCAGACATCAGAGGGAAAAAAAAGTAGCCTCAGTATTAGACATGGGCTTATCTGCTTCCATGCTTTTGTTTCAGAGTGAGTCATTAAATTGCAGAGATGCACAGATTGTGGAGAGATGTCAGTTTAGCCTCGACTATTTTTTATTTCAGAAGATTTCTGGAGTTTGGAGGAACTTGAATCAGGTCCATAAATGTTTAATGGGCATGATCGGGTTCTTACTGTCACGAGCCTCCAGGCTTATGACTGGAATCTCCCATTTTCTATTAAACTAAAAAGAGGGTTTACTGCACCTTCACAAACGTGCACGTTCAATTTAATTTCCTTGCATCATTAAGCACTTTCCCATAGGGTTGGGTACTGTTTGCATTTGGAGGGAGGTGTGCTGAGGGGCTACAGCACTCCTTTATTGGTGAGAGGCTGTAACTACATAAAAAAAACTTAATTAAAACTTTAATTTAATTTCACTGTCTCTGGTACCATTTTGAGAGTAGAATAGAAGTAGGCCTATCTAATATTTAATTTCACTTTTGCACATTCATTCTATTGTTTTATCTGATGCACAATTGTAGAACATTGACTATGTTCAGCACGAATTTAGACAAAGAATAAACATGCATTCTGAGTGTAAACTGTCCAAAGCTGAATATGGTACAGTGCTCTAGAGAAAGTTAGTTTTCAAATATGCTCTGTAG